CAGCCTCCTTTCACTGGACATGCCAGAGGCTTAGAAGTAGATATTGAATGTGAATTTACAGGTATTATACTATTTCTTACATAGTATTAAGAAGCTACATTTGTAGAGTCATTGATGGAGATGGACCACTACCTTCTGTCATAAAATTGAATGCTTGTAATTACTTGCTGGCCAAAATCTCACTAGGTTTCTGTTCAACAAACTTGTTTCATACTGCTTAAAACACATATTGACCTAATTGCATCATATTTACAAAATGGTAGGAGAAAAGAGAGTGTGTGTATGTATGTGTATTTAATCTGTTATTTGCTGCTGCCATCTGGTTTAAGAAGACACTGATGAAGACCTATATCAGGTATTTTCAAAAAATTCAAAATGTATTCAGAAGACTCTTCAGATGCATTCCAAAGAATGCAACAAATCACATCTTCAATTGTGTAATCAGTGTGTTCACCCTGTTTTGGCATATAAGACTAATGAAGGTTTGCTTTTATGGATAAATTTCTATTGTTCTAATCAGAACCGATATTTGCAAGACATGGTTGCTTGCAAAGCTGGGTTTAGTTATGAGTACTGTGAAAGGAAAATTAATCTCAGGACCCGCAAATCACAAAGCCAAAGGGAAAAGTCAAGCTGGGAACTGCATTGGGCAAACCTACCTCCCATTCTATTCCTAAAATAAGATAGCTATGAAGATTAAAAAGCTACATACTTCCCTCACAATGTGCCCACAAGGAAATTCCTTGTGGACAAAGGACAGACAGAATTCAAAGTCATCCCTCTGCTCGTGTGAGACAAATGCATATCTGATTGCTTCCTTTGCCCTGTTGTTTCACTAAGCCAGACTAAAGCATTGGTGGTTATTCCTGTAAATTGTGTATTCAGCAAAAGGATAATCAGAAATGCAAAAGAATGCAATAGTTTGTCTCTTATCTACCTATGACCTGGCTTTCCAGACCCCCTTTCCAAGCCCCCTCCTGGCTTTCCAGACCGAGTTGTACCACATTTTCAGACCAAATGTACATCTTACACATATTGATCGATGTCTCATATCTCCCTAAAATGTAAAAATCCAAGCTGTACCCGTACCACCTTGGGTACATGTCATCAGGACCTCCTGAGGCTGTATTATGGGCACGTCCTTAAGCTTGGCAAAATAAACTTTCTGAATTGACACCTGTCTCAGGTATTTTGAGTTCACAGTGTTACCGGAAAGGGGTCCTGATCCAGACCCCAAGAGAGAGTTCTTGGATCTCATGCAAGAAAGAATCCAGGGCAAGTCCACAGTGCAAAGTGAAATGAAGTTTATCAAGAAAGTAAAGAAATAAAAGAATCGGCTGCTCCATAGAGCAGCCCTGAAGGCTGCTGGTGCATATTTTTATGGTTATTTTTTGATGGTATGCTAAACAAGGAGTGGATTTTTCATGC